GAAGGAAGGTGATTAGGGAAGTGGAGGTTACAGGTGGAATCTATGCTAGTGTGGAAAGGTGGTTCAGATTAAGGCATTAAAACTTTGCTACTGGGCTTCCCTGGTGGCGCAGTGGTTCAGAGTCTGCCTGCCGATGCAGGGGACACGGGTTCATGCCCTGGTCTGGGAAGATCCCACATGCCGCGGAGCGGCTGGGCCCGTGAGCCATGGCCGCTGAGCCTGCGCGTCCGGAGCCTGTGCTCCGCAGCGGGAGAGGCCACAACAGTGAGAGGCCCGCGTACCGCAAAACAACAACAACAACAACAAAAAACCTTTGATACTGACATTTACACACTGCTATATTTAAAACAGATAACCAACAAGGACCTACTGTATAGCACAGGAAACTTTGCTCAGTACTCTGTAATAAGCTAAATGGGGAAAGAATTTGAAAACGAATAGATACATGTGTAAGTATAACTGAATCTCTTTGCTGTACACCTGAAAACAACACAATTGTTAATCAACTCTACTCCAATATAAAATTAAAAAATCTTTAAATGTATATATTAGTGAATTGATACATATAGTAAAAAACAAAACAAAACAAAGGAAAGAAATTGGAAAAGAGAGAAGATACAAGCCAAAAAAGAATAACATGGTCAACATTTTGAGGCAATTGAGGAGGCATGAATATTTATGAAATAGTGAATTACTCAGGTCTACTAGAACAGAGTTAGATGTCAGAAGTCATTAGGGCAGGGCAGTGGACACTGGAAAGGACACCTGAGTCAGATTATTAAAACTCGATGTGCAAGACTAAGGAATTTAAACACTTTTATAATAAAATGTTCAGAAATTTTAGATACAATCACATAATTTTGGTTCAGTGACTAAATTACATTTTAGTTGTATATCCAGAATCTCAATTTACTAGCAGTGTTTTTTAAGAACAGAAAAGATTTTTAAGGGCAGAAACTGTACAGTTTAAACTTTGTAATTACAGTAACTGGCATTGTCTCTAGTGTATTTTAGGTGTTGGGCATATATATATATATATATATATATATATATATATATATATTTTAACATCTTTATTGCAGTATAATTGCTTTACAGTCATGTGTTAGTTTCTGCTTTATAACAAAGTGAATCAGCTATAAATAAACATGTACCCCATATCAACTCCCTCTTGTGTCTCCCTCCCACCCTCCCTATCCCACCCCTCTAGGTGATCACGAAGCACCGAGCTGATCTCCCTGTGCTATGCAGCTGCTTCCCACTAGCTGTTTTACATTTGGTAGTGTATATATGTCCATGCCACTCTCTCACTTTGTCCCAGCTTACCCTTCCCCCTCCCCGTGTCCTCAAGTCCATTCTCTACGTCTGTGTCTTTATTCCTGTCCTGCCCCTAGGTTCTTCAGAACCATTTTTTTTTTTTTAGATTCCATATATATGTGTACGCATATGGTATTCGTTTTTCTCTTTCTAACTTACTTCACTCTGTATGACAGACTCTAGGTCCATCCACCTCACTACAAATAACTCAATTTCATTTTTTTATGGCTGAGTAATATTCCATTGTATATATGTGCCACATTTTCTTTATCTGTTGATGGACACTTAGGTTGGTTCCATGTCCTGGCTATTGTAAATAGAGCTGCAATGAACATTGGGGTTCATGAGTCTCTTTGAATTATGGCTTTCTCAGGGTATATGCCCAGGAGTGGGATTGCTGGATCAGATGGTAGTTCTATTTTTAGTTTTTTAAGGAACCTCCATACCATTCTCCACAGTGGCTGTATCAATTTACATTCCAACCAACAGTGCAAGAGGGTTCCCTTTTCTCCACACCCACTCAAGCATTTGTTGTTTATAGATTTTTTGATGATGGCCATTCTGACCGGTGTGAGGTGATACCTCATTGTGGTTTTGATTTGCATTTCTCTAATGATTAGTGATGTTGAGCATCCTTTCATTTGTTTGTTGGTAATCTGTATATCTTCTTTGGAGAAATGTCTATTTAGGTCTTTTGTCCATTTTTGGATTGGGTTGTTTCTTGTTTAATATTGAGCTGCATGAGCTGCTTGTAAATTTTGGAGATTAATCCTTTGTCAGTTGCTTCATTTGCAAATATTTTCTCCTGTTCTGAGGGTTGTCTTTTCATCTTGTTTATGTTTTCCCTTGCTGTGCAAAAGCTTTTAAGTTTCCTTAGGTCCCATTTGTTTATTTTTGCTTTTATTTCCATTTCTCTAGGAGGTGGGCCGAAAATGATCTTGCTGTGATTTATGTCATAGTGTGTTCTGCTTATGTTTTCCTCTAAGAGTTTTATAGTGTCCAGTCTTACATTTAGGACTTTAATCCATTTTGAGTTTATTTTTGTGTTTGGTGTTAGGGAGTGTTCTAATTTCATTCTTTTACATGTAGCTGTCCAGTTTTCCCAGCACCACTTATTGAAGAGGCTGTGTTTTCTCCACTGTATATTCTTGCCTCCTTTATCAGAAATAAGGTGACCATATGTGTGTGGGTTTATCTCTGGGCTTTTTATCTTGTTCCATTGATCTGTATTCCTGTTTTTGTGCCAGTACCGTACTGTCTTGATTACTGTAGCTTTGTAGTATAGTCTGAAATCCGGGAGCCTGATTCCTCCAGCTCCATTTTTCTTTCTCAAGATTGCTTTGGCTATTTGGGGTCTTTTGTGTTTCCATATAAATTGTGAAAGTTTTTGTTCTAGTTCTGTGAAAAATGCCAGTGGTAGTTTGATAGGAATTGCATTGAATCTGTAGATTACTTTGGGTAGAACAGTCATTTTCACAGTGTTGATTCTTCCAATCCAAGAACATGGTATATCTCTCCATCTGTTTGTATCATCTTTAATTTCTTTCAGCAGTGTCTTATAGTTTTCTGCTTACAGGTCTTTTGTCTCCTTAGGTAGGTTTATTCCTAGGTATTTTATTCTTTTTGTTGCAGTGGTAAATGGGAGCGTTTCCTTAATTTCTCTTTCAGATTTTTCATCGTTAGTATATAGGAATGCAAGAGATTTCTGTGAATTAATTTTGTATCCTGCTACTTTACCAAATTCATTGATTAGCTCTAGTAGTTTTCTGGTAGCATCTTGAGGGTTCTCTATGTATAGTATCATGTCATCTGCAAACAGTGACAGCTTTACTACTTCTTTTCCGATTTGGATTCCTTTTATTTCTTTTTCTTCTCTGATTGCTTTGGCTAAAAATTCCAAAACTATGTTGAATAATAGTGGTGAGAGTGGACAACCTTGTCTGGTTCCTGATCTTAGAGGAAATGGTTTCAGTTTTGCACCATTGAGAATTATGTTGGCTGTGGTTTGTCATATATGGCCTTTATTATGTTGAGGTAAGTTCCCTCTATGCCTACTTTCTGGAGGGTTTTTTATCATTAATGCACGTTGAATTTTGTCGCAAGCTTTTCCTGCATCTATTGAGATGATAATATGGTTTTTCTCCTTCAATTTGTTAATATGGTTTATTACATTGATTGATTTCTGTATATTGAAGAATCCTTGGGCATATATTTTTGATAAGAGAGTTATTTGAATTTGTTAAGTGAAACAATATTCTAAAAGGTGTGAAGTGATTGTTGTTTTGGACTATAGGGAGATAAGTGGGAGGTAATTAGGTAGGTAGACAAGAAGATATAAGTTTAGAAGTAGATAGATGGATAGATAAAAACAAATATACACACTTAAACACACAAACACATATGTAATCAATACACACACCTAACTACACACACACAGACTCATACACACATACAGGCACAGGCATACGCATAGATGTAACCCACACAAGTACACATATGTACGTACAAATACATATATATACACACACACATCACAAACACACATAGACATCCACATATACCCACACACGTATATTTGCGAGAGACAGTAGATAAAATATTAGGATTATATTATAAGAAAGAAAGACAAAGCTCATGAAATTATCAAGGAGAATAGTATGAGAAGGGCAGACAAATAACAGATGGAAGAGGATTTATAAGAAAAAATTAAAGAATAAAGAGTTTATTCTCCGTGAAGAAGAGACATCCTAAGGAGATTATCACTTTGTAGGCAGATTTCCCAAACTCTTACTGTGCATTGCCAAATACTTACTTACACATCACATATTACCTACATTAGAATCTGAGTCTGAGGATGGGTGGCATAATCATATTTACCAAATTAGACAATGTTTAATTTTTTTTCTTCATGGTATTCAAATGCTTGGGATTTTCAAAAATATAGAATGAAGAATCTAGGGGCAGGACAGGAATAAAGACACAGAGGTAGAGAATGGACTTGAGGACACAGGGAGGGGAAGAATAAGCTGGGATGAAGTGAGAGCGTGGCATGGACATATATACACTACCAAATGTAAAATAGACAGCTAGTGGGAAGCAGCTGCATAGCATAGGGAGATCAGCTCGGTGCTTTGTGACCACCTAGAGGGGTGGGATAGGGAGGGTGGGAGGGAGATGCAAGAGGGAGGGGATATGGGGTTATATGTGTATGTATAGCTGGTTCACTTTGTTACAAAGCAGAAACTAACACACCACTGTAAAGCAATTATACACCAATAAAGATGTTAAAAAAAAATAGAAGTAAGTCCATTACCACAAAACCAAATTTAAATAGTGCTAATTTTTTCTTCATTCTAATTTTTAAATCTGTAGAAAAGGTGTTTCATTCTGATATGTTGAGGTGACACTGTCTAAGGTTTAACTGTTTCTGTCTACTCTGGGTCTTAGATTGTAATCTTTGTTGGTTCCAGAGATTTATCTGATCTGGGTAGCCATCGGTAAGTTATCAGGAAGGGCTATTGACATATTTCATGATTATACTGAAAAGACTAAATGAGAGTGACAAAACCTATGTTAGAAAACATTATTGTTAATTTCAACATAAATAGTGTGTACAGTCAGTTCAATAATGCTGTATAAAAGATTTAAAGTGTTCATGATTTCTCACTCTTTTCTATGTTTAGGTAGACCTTTTTGGGTCAGAATTGTGGAGAAAACATCTGAGTCAGATTATTAGGATCTGATGTGCAGGGTAAGTCTGATGGTGACAATTTCTCTTATTTTTTTCTTCATTTGAGAGCATCTTGATTTTCCCTAGAGTCCCTGCAAAATATTTCACTGGATGTAGAATTCTGGGTTGACAGTTCACTTCTTTCAGCTCTTGAAAAATTAGAGAGAAAAAAAGATTAGCACTACTTAAATTTTAATTGTTTTCCTTTACAGAATTCAAATGCTTATTTTAAAGAAAATGAAAAAAATATATAGAAAAATAGAAATAAGAAATAAAGTTCATTATCACAAACCCACATTCAAATCCACTGTTTTTCACCTCTAGATAACATGGAGGGTTTTTTTTTTCCCACTGCTTTTAAGATGTTTCTTTGTCTTTATCTTCAGAAGTTTGAATATGTTGTGTCTTGGTGTGTTTCTTTGGGTTTATTCTGTTTGTAGTTCATTCAGCTTCTTGAATGTGTAGGTTTATTTCTTTTGCCAGATTCAGAAATCTTTCTGCCATATATTTGCATACTTTGTAGCCCCTCCCTCTTCATCCTCTCCTTCTGGGTCTCTGATGGCACAAATGTTAGATCCTTTGTTATATTCCCACAAGTCCCCTGTGGCTCTTTTCATTTGTCTATTTCTTTTCTTCTTCTTTCTTTTTTTTCGTTTATTTTCTCTCTGTTGTCCAGATTTGCTAATTTCTATCGATACATTCAAGTTTACTGATTCATCTCCCACCTTCATCTGGTTGTTGAGCTCATCCATTGAGTTTTATTATTTCAGTCATTATATATTTCTGTTCTAAATTTTCATTTGGTCTTCTTTTTAACTTCCATTTCTTTGCTGAGATTTTCTCTTTCTTTACGGAGCTTTTATGTTTTCTGATTGGTTTAAAGACACTCAAAATTGCTTGTTGAATCGATTTTATAATGGTTGCTGTAAAGTCTTTCTCAGTTAATTCTAACATCTCTGTCTTCTCAGTGTTTCTCCTCTACTGATGGTTGTTTTTCCCCTGAGATTTTCCTGGTTCTTGGTGTAGCAAGTGACATTTGATTGATATTTGGGAATTTTTGGAACTCTGTTATGAAACTCTGCATCTTATTTAGCCTCTGTTTTAGCTGACTTTTTTGTTTGTTTGTTTGTTTGACATTATCCTGGCAGGGACAGAGGGAGAGGGGAAATCAGTGAAGTCTCTTTACTGCCAGGTGAAGGTAGAAATCTAGATTCCCCACTCAGTCTAACAACACATGAGCAGAGGGTTCCTTGTTACTGCTGGGCAGAGGCAGAAGTCTGGCTCCCCGGCCCTCCACTGATACCATGGAGGGGTGGCCCCATTATCTCTGGGAGCTTGTGAAAGTCCTAAGCCTCCATTCAGCCTTTTCTGACACCATCCCAGCTGGTGGAGGGAGGACACCTCATTGCCGCCGCCACTCTGCCCTTGCTGGTGCAGATGGGGATGAGGCCTTCATTTTTCCTGTGATGTTTGCCTTGAGTAGAACAGTTACTGTCTAAAAGTATCTCTCTGGGTGGGCTACCCTGTTTTTTTTTTTTGATTAGGGAGAGCAGAATTTTTTCTTTTTCTTGTGTCTGTTGGCATTTCTCAGTTGCCACTTTCTTCAGCTCCAAGTCTGCCACATATGAAGCAAAAAGATAACTCAGGAAACTCATCATCATGTCATTTCTTGGGTCCCAAGGTCCCTAGCTATTCTGCCTTTTTTCTCCTATGTTTGCTTTAAATAACAATGCCAGGGTTTTTGTTGTACATAGTGGGAGAAATAGGGAAAATTATGTCTCCTTAATCTTCCCACAGGATGGGTTTTGAGAAAATAGATTTTGAGGCAGCAACTTAAGATGAATTCGTGGAAAATCAGAAGTCTGAAAAGTTACTCAATAATGGTCTTCCAGGTCCATTCAAACTCCATGCAGATTGGTGGTCATTCACATTTGTTTCCATTAGTTCATTTTTAGTAATGATCAAAAAACAGATTGAGTCATAGATTAGATCATAATAATCATCTGACCGATTTCTTTAAGAAGAATTTCTTGAATAGTCTTTCTAGGAGCAATTCTTTAAAACAGAACAGGTTTTCATTGGATTCTGCTGACAGTGTTGTGACTCAAGGGAATCTTAGGAGATATCTTTCAACTCTTTATATAGATAATAATATGGCTCCTAGCATGTTACAAATGTTAAATAGGCATTTAGTTGTTTCACTAAAGGTCTTCTGTGTAGGTAACATTTCCTTTCAAAGTAATAGTCTGAAAGTCAATTTTGAGCTTATTTTATTTCCTTACATTTCTTTCAAAGGGTAAATCATTCCAGCCCTAGAATAGAAATGCTTAGTCTCTTGAGACTCCTCTGATGAATAGCCAAAGGGATAATTGCTTGGCTACACGGGTTTCTACATATTTTTTAGCAAAATCATAGATATCCAAATGTAGATTCTGGCAATTAAGGATGTCGTGTCAATATGAGGCATTCCCAAGGGGACTCTGCAACTCTTGTGGAATTACTAGGTTATGGCACTAAACATAGTGGGCATAGTTTTTCAATAGTCAAAACAAAGTATGATCTATGTAACATATTTTGTATAATAAGTAATACAAGTGTAATACAAAACAGGTGACTAATATTGCTTAACTATTTAAGTGTACCATATGTGATAAAATATAGCCAAATGGTAATTTAATTATTGCCATAAAAATACAGATACATTCCAGCATTTAAAAAGCAGCTGATTTACTGTGTTGTGAACTTTGAGGCTATACATATGATTATGTATAGTGATGAACTTTACAGTTTATTATATAGAATCGGTTATAAAAAACGGAATGAATATTCAAATATTCTGGGAAGGAATCGTTGTACTTTTTATGTGAAAAAATCAGTCATCCAAAAAATTAGTTCCAAGAAATATGTTCTGCTGTGATGAGCTGAACATTTGTACTGTTTAACTCAGTTACTGAAAACACGAGACTCGTGGATGAGATCCAACCCTTTGGTGCACCTTGGGCTGCTGCTCTACTCTGTGGTTGTGGATTGCACCCCTAACTGAGACTGTCCCTTGGATAATGCGGCTTGTGAAAATCAGATGAGAAAATACATTTGAATAACTGGAAAATCTAAAGTATTTCTCCTGATATTAGTTTTCTTTACCACAGGGAAAATTTAAATCATTAGAGTAGCTGAGACATACATAAGTGATAAATACAAGGACAGAATTAATAAAGCCCCTGGTTCTGACCTGTTTGGGGCATCTGCTCCCAGAACATATCGACCTGTGTGGGATATTGTTGGCTTGAATCAGTATCCAAAATTGTCACATTTTCTTCCTTAAAGCCTTCTTCCAGTATCAACATGTATATTTTCACTTTACCTAGTCTGCTTGGACTTGTTCTTTAAGTGAACAGAGCCATTGTGAAAGGCTACATACTGTACAATTCTGACTGTATGACATACTGTTTAAGGCAATACTACAGAGCAGTAAATAGATCAGTGGTTGGCAGAAGTTCAGGTGGAATAATATGGGAAGAGGGATGAATAGGTGAAGCACAGGGGATTTTCAGAGCAGTGAAACTATTCCGAATGATATTTTAATGGTAGACACATGGCATTACGCGTTTGTCAAAAACTACAGAACAGAACAACACAAAAAAAATGAGACAGTGTGGGCTTCCCTGGTGGTGCAGTGGTTGAGAGTCCGTCTGCTGATGCAGGGGACACGGATTCGTGCCCCGGTCTGGGAAGATCCCACATGCCGCGGAGCGGCTGGGCCCGTGAGCCATGGCCACTTAGCCTGCGCGTCCGGAGCCTGTGCTCGGCAACGGGAGAGGCCACAACAGTGAGAGGCCCGCGTACGGCAGAAAAAAGAAAAAAAAAAAAAAAGAGAGACAGTGTAAACTATGGCTTTCTGCTAATAAAAATGTATCAATGTTGGTTTATCAGTTGTAACAAAGTACCACACTAAAGCAAGCAGTTAATAAAAGAGGAAACAGTGTTTAGAGAAGATACATGGGAACTCTCTGCTCACCTTTCCTGTACAACTAAAATTGTCCTGAAAAATAAAGTTGATTAATTAAAATACCAATAAATTTTAAAAAATCGTAGAGTAGTATAGAATATGCAAACTTTTAATTAAATTTCCTACTTTGAGACCTGGGCCCCCCTCCCTCTCAACTGAATCTGTCTGGTATCTTAGTCTCAGGAGTGTAAGTCCTGCCTACCCCATGCACAAACAGTAGGTGAAAGGAGCTAAAAGCTTTGGCTTTTCTTGAAACAGATTTTTCAACCAATCTCTTGATTTTCTGTCTTCACACTCTGCCTTCTGTAGACCTTGAACCTAAGTCTATCTGTAATTCCATCTAAATTTACTCACGGCTGTTCAGTATCCTCCTGTCCAGACAGCTCAATCGAAACTTTCTCTATTTTGTTAATTCACTTACTATTCTATTTGTTTTTCATCTTCAAAAATTTTTTGTCATATCTAGTCTGCTATTGTCTCCTTTTTTTCCCTTGTTAGTCTAAACATGCATAAATTGTTTAACCTTCTTTTTAGTAAAACTTCAAGGGTGAGAAGGAAAATGCACATGTAGCCAAACAGTTAATTAAAAACATAGGTGGCTTTCTGGTCCTCACTCTATCTATGCTTTCCTTTCGTGGTTCCCATCGTTTTCTTTCTGTGGACACAACCACTCTTACTAAGTAAAGTTAAACATCATATTTGTCAATACATGGCACAATAATATGAACTACTTGAAATTTAATAATAGCTGTTTTTGGCAATGAATTCATTCGAATGAATCATGAGACAACATTTGATGTAATTATTTAATTAATGAAAATGAAGTATTGCAATATTGAGGGACTTGAATACATATTGAAGGATACTGTGGATAAGGGCTATGGCTGAAAGCCAACTCAGAGCAATTCACATTTCAAATCAGGAAATGATGAATTTTCATTGCTTTTTTTTTTTTTTTTTTCTTTTTTCCTTCTTCAAGCTTTGCATCCTGATTGAAGCAAAGACATCTGTC